TAACGAATCTTCAACAGGCCATTGTCGCCCACTTTCAATTCAGAGCATGCAATGGCCTTCGCGTCAATGATACTTGGAAGAGCTCCTGTCAGATGTGGCTTTGACCTCTTTAAGTCGAGACAATAGAAATGCAGCAGCTGCTTGACCAAAGCTAGCTTGCGGATTGAAGAAGTGTGTCTAAAAATTTCTCTCTCCATGGCAAGCACTTGCAGATTATGTGTTCTCGTTATAGCAAGTGTATTATTGCTTTGTCTTGGTGCCTTGTTTGCCTATATTTTTCTTCTTAAATTAGGCTATGTAACTGGTACATTGATCTTGAGCCATAGCCATCGTAAGTGCATCTCGTCTGCCTGCGGTAACATCGACAACATAACCAGCCCTTTTCGACTAGCCAACAATCCAAATCAAAGCCACTGCACGAACTGGAATTTCAACCTCTTTTGTCACAACAACCTCACAGTATTGGAAGTAGATTCAGGAAACTACTCTGTGCAGGCAATCAAATACGACAACTTAACAATCCGAGTTGTAGATCCTGGCATTCGCAACAATGATTTCTCCTCCATCCCCCGTTATTCGCTTTCCATTTACAACTTAACTTCTCATAGTGATCTTCGATTAGCATCAAGTACAACACCTATAACTTTCTTCAAGTGTGCAAAAGCAGTGAACTCGTCTGTGATGAGAACGCATAAAAAACTTTTCTTATCATGACATACACAGCGCACTGGGGTATGGCTTTGAGCTTCAATCCCTCTTGCACAGGACCAGCTACAAATTAGGTTTGTGAATTACTTGCTATATTCCAAGTCTACGATTTCTTACTCAAACTTTCTGAATTTCTCCAAATGTCACTTGTTTAAATCTATCATCTATGACTTTTTGTTACGCTTTATTTCTCATTTTCAATCATTTGTTTTGTTTAATTTTACTTGAAATAAGGCGATACAGGGCTGAAAATGAGAAAGACATGGAGAAAATACGACAGTTATTCTTTGAAAATAAAAATTCTAACAATTTTAAATAGTTTTATTACTTGTATTTTGTCTGGCTAATTTAAATTCCATTCTCTCTTCTTCACCTTCCTCATATGATGTAGTCTGCTAATTAGTCTTAGTCAACCAGTAAGCAGGGCAGAGTATATATTTGAGCTTCAATTCCGCTTTCGCAGGATCAGCTACTGGGGTAGGTTTGTGAATTACTTGCTATATTCCAAGTCTAACTTCTTACTCAAACAAATGTGACTTGTTTAAATCTATCATCTTTGACTTTTTGTTAGCTTTATTTCTCATTTTCAATCATTTGTTTTCTTTATAAGTTTTACTTGAAATAAGGCGATACAGGGCTGGAAATGAGAAAGACATATGGAGAAAGTACGTCAAATATTCTTTGAAAATAAAAATTCGAAATTTTTTAAATAGTTTTACTACTTGTATTTTGTCTGGCTAATTTAAATTCCCTTCTCTCTTCTTCACGCTAATTGGTCACTTTTTCTTGTATCTCTTGCAGGTATTTACTATTGGCTTATTCTCGGTAAGAGTTTGCATATTCCTTTAGTGCAGAATTGTATTTCCTATTAGTCAGTAGAAAAAACAAATGGAAGCAAAGAGGAAGGTCCTGACACATATATTATATCCAATAAAGCATGTCATTTGTGATTCTTTTTGTGATGTTGCTTTGCAGGAGCATTTTTCCAAATAAGATCTATATTTGGGGTTCCATTTCTGGCTGCTCTTCTAATCTACAAACGCCGAAGAATGCATTTGTCAATGTATCGCAGCATAGAAGATTTCCTGCAAAGTGATAACAACCTCATTCCGATAAGGTACTCTTACTCAGATATTAAAAAGATGACCAGTAGATTCAATGAGAAGTTGGGTGAAGGAGGTTATGGCTCTGTATTTAAAGGAAAGTTACGCAGTGGTCGATTTGTAGCGGTTAAAATGTTGGAGAAGCCTAAAGCTAATGGACAAGATTTCATAAGTGAAGTTGCTACTATTGGGAGGATTCACCATTTTAATATGGTTCAACTTGTTGGTTATTGTGTTGAGGGATCAAAGCGTGCCCTAATTTATAACTTCATGCCAAATGGATCTCTTGATAAATACGTTTATTGTAAAGAAGGAAGCAACCCTCTAAGTTGCAAGAAAATGTATGAGATTTCTCTTGGAGTGGCTCAAGGGATCGAATATCTACATCAAGGTTGTGACATGCAAATTCTACATTTTGACATCAAGCCTAACAATATTCTTCTGGATGAGAATTTCATCCCAAAGATTTCTGACTTTGGGCTTGCAAAGCTATATCCGGTAGGTAATATCATCGTCTCTTTGACGGCAGCAAGAGGAACAATGGGATACATGGCTCCTGAGTTGTTTTACAAAAATATTGGAGGTGTCTCATACAAAGCTGATGTCTATAGTTTTGGAATGTTATTGATGGAAATGGCAAGTAGAAGGAAGAATTTGAAAGCATCCATAGAGCATTCAAGCCAAATTTATTTTCCTCTTTGGGTCTCAGAGCAATTTTGCATGGGCAAAGAGTTTGAGATGGATGATGCTACAGAAGAGGAAAAGAAAATAATAAAAAAGATGATTATAACTGCTTTATGGTGTATACAATTGAAGCCAAGCGATCGTCCTTCGATGAACAAAGTTATAGAGATGCTTGAGGGAGAGGTTGAATGCTTGCAACTCCCTCCCAAACTTCTTTTATGTCCACAACAAGAGATGCCCAGAGACAATCTTCATGGTAATTTGAATCCAATGTGTTCTAACACAGAGCTAACATGTAGTACTTTGTCAGCTAGGTGATGTGTAGGACTCGACTAGAGTTTCAACTTTAATTTCAGTTTTATTATTATTTGAGGTCAAGTTGCATACATTAAAAATACGTTTTTATTTTGAACAAATACTAATGTGGTTTTGCTCCTCTGCCACCATAAGCATCACCATCATTGTCACTGTCACTACGACCACCATTGAGTCTTATCTCATATATAGTTTTTTTTTTTTTTTTTTTTTGGAAAATGCTAAGGAGACCCTTTAGCAAAAAAATTTACATGTAACGGGATAGGACTGTTTTGTTATTCGTAACCAATAACATAATGACACGTAGCATTATTAGTTGGGGATAGCAAAAATTATTATCCCATTACATGAGAGTTTTCCTTCCATCTTTAGAGAAACTCATGTACAATCTTTCCAATAGAGGTGGGACCCAGGTATTGGTGGGCTCCATCTTTACTAGAGAAATGGTACAAAATTTGTCTCCAAAGATGCTCCCTAGCATGACCCTTTATTTTTTTGTAGAAATAAAATTTAAATATTGTATTTAAATGTCATTTATATTATTGAAAAAGAATCTTGAGCCACATCCATTGTCCCCCCACTTCAATTCTCTGAGCATGGAATTGGCCTTTACACCAATGATCACATGGAAGAAAGTCATTAGCAATATGGAAAATGAAAAAAAAATGATCAGCAAATGCTCGAGACCAGAGGCGGACGCACGTTGGGACAAGAGGGGTCTAGACCCCTTGGAATGCCTGAAATTTGGCTATGGACTCCATGGACGACCCCTTGGACAGCTGCGGAGCGACCCCTTCTGTGCACACCAGGTGCTTGACGAAAGTCCCAGCCTGTCTGTGTCTTGTGTTGGTCTGCCATGGAATCAATAGACCATTTGTTTTCGATTGTGCACTGATGCAAAAGCCAAACCAACTTTCGTGCTGCTCTTGTTTGTGAAACAATGGAAGAAAGTCTCTTCGTTTAGTTAGCAGTGAGGGAGTGGCGAGGGAGGCTGGGAAGAAATAAACAGAGAGAGAAAGAAAGGATAAAAAAAGAGGGGTTGGCTGGAAGAAGAAGGAAAATAATAAAGAAAGTATGGGGTTAAGGAGTCTTGGAGCCTAGAGTTTAGTATTGTAGACATCGTATACACCTCTTACGTGTTGAAGTTTGGGGATGGGCAGCTCTTATTGCTTCATGGTGGGAAATTGCTGGCTTATGCTTGTGGTTCCAAGGGTTTTGTGGATGTTGAGTTTGATGCGATACGACACTTGAGAGATGAATGTGTCCACATTCCAAGCTTTGCTTCGCCTAAAATCATATTATCAGGGGTTAGACCTGGAGCTCCAGATCGAGAGTATTAATTATACGTCAAAGCTAGTTCAGTATTTGGTCTTTGGTGTTTCGTCTTTGGTGTAGTGTGCAATTTCAAACTTCATGCCGTTTGTTTTATTTTTTTTAGTTTCGAAAACTTTACTTGAAAGAAATTGGAATAGTAGAATGGGATGAGATTATGTTTCGCTTAACTTCGGAGTTCCTATGACTCCGAAGCCAGTGAACTCCCAAAAAGCCTTGTGCTAGATGGAGGTGGACATGTACATATAAGGCACATCACCCCCTCTTTGTTGGTCGATGTAGGATCTTACACCTAATCCGTAGTACAATAACCCATGAAAAAGTTATCATATGTGTCGTTGCGTTATTTTGCTATCCCTAGCATGGCTTTCTTCAACAAGTTGGCTAAGTAGAGACTGAGAGTTCAAATGCAGTTGCACAAACCCTGTGCGTGTCCGACACCTGGCGGGTGCCGAGCACAAATGACCAAATTGCCCTTCTAACGAAAACTAAGTTACTTGAGAGTTTAACTTCTGCCGAAAATTCGGCAGAGTCTCCCTTGTAAATGCTTGTTTCCCCAAAAAAAATCACCTGCAAGAAACGCAATTTACCAACATAACATTCAGCATGCTTTAAGTTTATAATCAAGCAATCCAACAACAAAATTATATGGCCTCTGGCCTTACAGAATCTTAGGGCAATTTCAGAGCAATACTAATCTACTTAATTACAAATAAGTGTGGAAACGAAAATAAATCCTACATAGTGGGAAGAGAAGGAAGAGTGATGACGAATGCTCGGTGGTGGTGCTCTGGTTCACGCTTACTGTCTGGGGGCGTAAAACATTTAAAAGTGTGAGTGGACAAAAATAAAGTTTTAGAAAAATAGAATATGAACATACTAACCCCACTATTAAAATCATTTTGAAAATTCAATTATCTCTATATTCCATATTCGTACAAAAATTTAAGCATGCATATTTATATACATATTATTAATCAAGCATTCAGTTAAAACATCGAGACTTTTAGAAACATTGTAAAGAAATATATATATAACCGTCAATTCCATAGTCTTATACTTATTTCCCTTATTACCGTCAATTCCTTGTGTCACGTAGTGTGACACATTCTCACAGGACTCATGGGACATTTAGTCTACCTGATCCACATTCCTCGCTCCGCACGGTCTGGATAGCCCTAAGACTCGTGGGGCAACTGTTCTGACATAACCGAAGGCATCATAATCCGAAGGCAACATTATAACCAAAGACAACATGGGTACCTATGGTGGTTTAAAAACATTTTCTGGAAAATTATAAACTATTTCTCATCCATTCTTAAATCCAGTTGCCATTATCCTTCCTACTTTCCAAGTCATTCTCATTTAAAATATAACAGAATATAACCATAAATATTTGAATTTAAATACTTATACTTGGAAAACAATAGGCATTAATACTTGTTCAAGATCAAATAATGTAATTTTAATTGCATAAAATTATTTATAAAACAAAAGTCCACTCACTGGGCGTCTAATCTAGCTTGACCCTTTGAGGGTCCCTCATGCGGGTCTGATGGTGCCCGAGTACCTATTTAGGCCTTTAAAAATATTAAATTAACAAATTTGCTTAACATAATTATTTAATCCAAAACCCTGACCCTGGCTTCTAAAAGTGTGTGTACATAGTTTAAGACCATTCATATGCCCACTTAAACATTTCGGACGGTTAGAACAGTCTAAAAATACCCGAGACTCAATAAGCGATAAATTTCTCGAAATAGTCAACCCGGGACCCCGTGGGATCCACAACCTCTAATTACCCATCCGAGAGTTCCTATAGGTTCAACATATTTTAATAATTATGCCCTACAAGTTTGGTCCAAATTGAACGGTCGAATTGCTCACGATCGTACGATTGGACGGTTATCGTAAAACTCAAATTTTAAGTTATTGAATCGAAACATTCGGGGCTCCGATTCATGATCCGCGAATTCCTATACGATCCTAGGAATGCCTAGATCAACATATATTAAATTGGAGTCGATCCAACAGTCCGAACATATCGAACCCGGATAACGTCTAATATGCGATATTGGGATTCGAGCACACCTACACGCCCGTGACAACCAGGAGATCACATTGGGACACAATGCACCTCCGCTATAGTGCCCATGCGCAGGCAGCGCGTGGGTGTCCTAAGCAATACTAGCAGCCGAAAAACTTCAAAATCGAGGGCTAAGATTCCTACCATTGGTTCAGGACATCGATTGGAGCCACTTTTGCTCTTGGACCTACCCCGAAAGATGACCGGAAGTGGTAGGAATTTCGAATTGAAAACCGGCCAAACTTTGATTCGTGATTTGATCTACCTAGGCTAGAAATCATTCTAATTCTACCCAGTCATCAGCTAGAGCTCAAAGATTAGATGAAAATCCATACCTCACTCGTCGGGATCTGGAGGAGAGAGATCGAACGGTGGGAAGTTTCGCACAAAACCAGCCGGATTTCTTCGATTTTTCGGCGGATTCCAGCGGTTCCAAGGGTGGAGACCGGACGGGAAGGGAAGGGGGTGGAGAGGCGATTCATTCTTGACCGGTCTCGTGGCCGGTGGTGGAGCATGATGGTGGCTATGGAGGAAAGGGGCGGCGGCTGTGCAAATTCTCGAAAAGGGGGGGGGGAGAGAGAAGTTTCTAATTTTATTTTATTTTTTAAATAAAACATTTTCAAAAATATTACAATTATGCAACTAAGGGTTTCTCGATCGTAACTTTTTCATTACGACTCCAATTCAAGCCCACTACGTGTCTACGAACTCGTCTCGACGTGCTCTATGCAACGGTCTAATTGGAATTTCCAAATTCCTTCCCGAAGAAAAGTCAACTTTTATACTAATATAATATTCCAAGGGCAAAATAGTCTTTTCCCATAATAAATTAATAATTAAAAATTTAATTAGGATCGGGTTATTACAATGAGCCCCTTTTGAATTATTGGCAAGGGTTTCTTATTTTAGAAAGTCAAACCTCTGGGCTTGTTTCTGGTTTGACTTGAGCATCAATTGTTAAGTCTTTCTATTTATGAATTTAAGCGGTCCAAAGCCCATTTGTACTTTAAAAAAAACCCATTAAAGGGTTTTTTTTCATTTTAGGCCCAAACAAGACCCTTAGAATTTAAACAATACTAATATTATTTATAATAAATAATAGCCACTTTGGGTTATCAACAACTATCAATCATCATTGGTTACTGTTAATGCCACTTGTAGAGGAGTTGTGATGGCTAGGAACTCTAGGATTAGGAAAATGGGGAATTTGAGGAATACGTTTAGGAAGTACATCTAAGATGAGGAGTGAAAGGAATGGGAGCTTTAGGCATCCGAGGTTTAGGAATGTGAGGTAGGCGGATCCAGGATTTTTACTACATAAAGTATCACAAATTTTTTTTAGACAAAACTAACCTGTAAAAAGACATATAAAATCAACACTACTTTGCAAGTAATCTTATTAAGGACCGTAGCATATAAAAAATATGCTTTAAAATAGACTCATAATCAATTTATGTTAGCAATTGTTTGTATTGCTAGTTAAGATTATTATGTCTTGCTATAATAACTTTTAAATACATCATAAAGCCAGCAAAATTATTTGGGTGGGTAGGGTTTGCGTTGGGGAATTGAATTGCTTTGAGGGAAATATGTTTGACTTTGGGGGGTTATTGGCATCCTCTTTTTTTTGTTTTTCTTGTTTTTCTTACGCCTGGGGAGAAAGGTTGATAACTTTAAAGAAAAATAAATAATAAAAGAAGAACAGACATGCATGCAAGCTGCCGACAAGCCTTTATTTGTAGCATTACATCGATCAGATGGTTGGCATGACTTCTCCAGCCATCCACCACATGCAGGGGGCCTCTCTAAGGAATTTTTCGGCGAGGAATGTACAGTAGCTGAACCTCCTTATGCCTTTATGGCTCTGACACTATGTTATGCTTCTTCTTCTTTTTTTCTTCTTTTTTTCTTTTTTTTTTTAATCAAGGATATGTTATGCTTCTTAGAGGTCCATGAAATGAGACTAGTACACAGAAAGGTTACAAAACCGTGGTGAATCTTGTATAATTAGAGCATCTCCAAGGGAAGAGGCAAAATAGTAGGCAAACCTCATTTGTCTTGTCATATCATCATTTTTATGCTCCAAGAGAAGAGGCAAATGCGTAGACAAAATATACATACTCTCCCCAATAAGACAATACTATATATTTACTTCAAAGTGAAGAGGTATATTGGGCCCTACTTGCTTTTTTTATTAAAATATCATCTACACTATTTCACATACTTTCTATAAAAATATAATAGTAAATATAAAAGATAAAAATAAATAATATAATAATGATTTGTACACTTGCATTGCCTAATCCCTTGGAGTGACCAACTTTTTTTCATGAGGCAAATGGGTAAGCAACATGCCACCTAACTTGTTACAACTTTGCTTATTTCCTTTGCCTCTTTCCTTGGATCCAAATGCTCTTAGAATCACCCCTCAAGCAGCATCTGTGTAAGCTTCTAACTCCAAATATCTAAGACAAAAGATACCTCCAGATCTCTGTAAGATGTTGTGAATGTAGACAGTGTGGGATTCAGAATTGAACTTTTATTGAGGCGAAATTACAATACAATAATTGATAAGAATTTTTTTCTTAATAACTGTTGAGGGAAAATGTGATTCTCCCAACATAATTTTACCACCACTACCTAAGCAATGGGATTTTATTATCTTTTAAGTTCGACTCATTCGAGATTAAAGAATCTCTTAATTACAATCTCTTTCTCACTTCACGGGATCACACCAACCCCTTTTACAAGTTTGAATGAAACAACTCTCGGAACAAAAACTCTCTCCTGTTTGAGAAGGATATACAATTGAAGCTCACACAATTATAACTCTCCTTTCTGGGTAGGTGATATAGAAGTAATTTGGACACTAGAACTCTTGTATGAATTTGAACAGGATTGGCTCAAGAGAAAATGATATTCAGACTTCAGAGGTTGATGAATGCTTGTAAGCTTGGATGAATATATTGAGTTGTCTTTTTTTTACAAAAATCTGAAGACATATTTATAAGCATAGAAATATAGTTGTTAGGAATATAGATGTTGTCCTTTTACTTTCATTTATTTTTATATTACTCTATTTACTTAAGTTTACAATGTAAATAAGGAAGTACCCCCATTTCAATTCAAATAAAAATACTAGAAAATCAAATTCCCACCAAATCAAAATATGAAAAATCGGTTTTAGTTCAAAATATGATTTAGGCTAAAAATGATGGCTCATTAAGTCTCTAAGGTCAATCTAGGTTAAAAGTCTGAGTTGTTCAATCCACAACGGCCATGTTTGGTACGCCTTATTGAACTGGATTGGGTTAAAAAGTACTCGAAACCCTTGTTTGGTAAAAGACGGGACTAACTTAAATGAGACTGTATAGTCCAATAGTGAAAAAACACACCTCACTCGCTCGTCTAATACAGTGAGCCTGAAAAGTGGTTCGCTAAATAGCACGCTCACTAAATAGAACAAGTGAGTCCAACGCCTCTCTTTAAAAAAATATCAGAAATTTTTTTGTTTTCTTTTTATTATTGTTTTAGATCTTTGAATGAGTTTTTTTTTTTTTTTGCAGCATTTATTTTTTTTAAGATAAAAATCCTTAAAATATTACAATAATTATTTTGATATTGCATTTGGAAAATCAAACTATAGTAATTTACAAATGTTTGATTTTTTTTTTTATATTGAAACAAGTTTAATAATTCATGATGTGATGCTTTCTTTATCGCAATCAATTTTTACCCTGTCAAATTATATTTTTCAGTTTGAATTCAAAAGTCAAATATACAAAAATTATACATATATATATATATATATATATATATATATTTTTTTTTTAATTATTTTTTACTTGGTCTTCCATGAAAGACGTAGAATTATATAGAGTGAGTTTAGCTCCTTAGTAATGTTTCGACCAACAAAAAATAGAAGATTTGTAGTAGTCTTGGGGCAAGGCTAAGGAGCAACTAAGATAAATCTTGAGAAGCCAAAAAAAAAATATCAAAATTTTATTCTTCATAAACAATCATAATTTTATTTGTTTTATTGTTTTAAATCTTTGAATTGTGTTTCTTTGTAGCATTTATTTATTTTTAGGTCAAAATTTCAAATTAAATTTAAATATTACAAGAATTATGACACAACACCAAACATAGGTCTTCACTATTTTTATAATCCAGCTTTTTAGTTCGACGCAGCACCAAATGTAGGTCAGTACTTAATCCAGCTTAGGCCAATCCGAGCTAATCCGAGACAGTCCTAGGATTTAATCCAGTCTATGACAGTCCGTCATGCCAAACGACCCTAAAGAGTTTTACAAGAATAACCTAACTCTTACTTATTAAAGAAATATTTTCTTGAATATCGGCTTCTTTCTTCAATGTTCCAAATGTCTTCCAGTGTGTACACTATTTTTGATCCATTTGGGAATATCTACTCCTTACAACTTATCACACTTGAAATACATTAGATAAAATTTATTATCATCAAAATATGCACAACAATATTAAAAACTGTAAGACTAACACAATAGAACCTAGTTGTATCTCAAAAAAAAATATATGAACTCAATCATTGATGGACCAGCCAATCACATGTTGCCATGTGGTCCAATCACACACTGCCATGTGGTGTTAGTATTTTGATTTTCTTATTTTCCAACTTCAAAATTTTACCAAAAATACTTCTGACTTCCGAAAAATACCACAAGCTTGTCGAAAATACCAAAATTCTAACTTCAAATTTGTCGAAAATAATTTATTCTCAAATATAATAGTGGTATGTAATTGTGAAAAAAAATTCCAAAATTCTAACTTCAAATTTGTCGAAAATAATTTATTCTCAAATATAATAGTGGTATGTAATTGTGAAAAAAAATTCCACTTACCTCAAATAGGACCGTGCAATTAATATAGTGAGCATAACAATATTCTGGAATTTTTCAAGGACTCACAGCCACTACACCAGTTTGATTTTTTATTTTTTATTTTAAAAAGGCTTTCTTGTATGGAGAACTCACATAGGAGGTATACATGGACATTCCACCTGGATACACTACTTCTACTCAGACTGGTATGGTGTGCAAGTTAAGAAAGGTGTTGTACGAATTGAAACAGTCGCCTCATGCATGGTTTGGATGGTTTACCATGGCAATGAAGAACAATAGTTTCAAGCATAGTAATTCATATCATACTTTGTTCTTAAAAACACCAAAAAGGGAGGGTGAGAGCTTTAATAATCTATGTTGATGATATGATTATTACGAGGAATGATGAACAAGAAATATTTCAGGTGCAAGACTATTTGGCCACAGAATTTGAGATGAAGAACCTAGGTGGACTCAAGTATCTCTTGAGTATTGAGGTAGCTCGATCAATGCAAGACATATTTCTCTCTCAAAGGAAATATGTCTCATACACACCTCCAGTCTAATAAGTATACTAGCAAAAAGACCTTTTATAGGAACTAATGTTTTTTGGGCTTTATTTGAACTATTTTGGGTTTTTTTATTATTTATTTTTCATATAAATGGGACTTACTTACCACCTAGGTTTGAAACTTTTTTATTTTAATGTTTGTTCAAAATGAGGTAAGCATTAAACAAAAAATGCCTTATTTTTCATTTTCGTCCAAAGTCTCCAAAATCAATGAACCGGCCCTGACATAGGGGTTACATAAGATTCACGTAAGTATGTTTATCAAGAGAGGTAATTATGTTCTTAATGTACAAGAATTAGTCAACTACGCTGATAAGGATATAAATCCCCCTAATTAGCTCACACAACACTTGGTACAATAGAATGAATACGATAAACTGTGAGTTTGATCCTTAAATAACCATGCTAACTGACTAACCAACCAATCATATTATTATGATAACACATGTCATATTATTATTATGACACGTGTCAATCAATATCTCCCAATACCGCACGTGAATCAAGATTTCTTGATTACGCGTAAACCACCCGCGTACGAAGTCTTCCACTGTCTCTTTTGCATCCTCAAATCAGTCCACTAAGCATATGCGGATACAAACCTATACGACCTATGCTCAATTGATAAGCGAATAATGCTTCTCTTTTTGGCTATAAGGAGAGGAGGAACTCCTCCTTGTCTACTGATGTGGCTCAATCACAATTTGACACGTATCTCTCTTATAAATAATGATTTAAGTGAAAAACAAATGCACTTTTGAGATTTTTTTTTTTTTTTAAAGACAAGTGTTAATTTGTGGTTGAGCCACATTAGTATGTAAGGATGGGCAAGGAGGGAAGCATTATCCTAATTATACATGGCTTGCCTCCTCCCCTGATAGAATGAGACGCTTTAAAAGAATTTATTCACCGTATCGAATTAATTGTAATCGGCAGAAAAGTAGGAGTTTCGACTTACAAAAGGAGGCAGAGTATTTTCTTAGGAATATTTTCAGAGCCCACGCTGTTTTGGTAAGATATGATGGGTACACTGTACACACACATTGCCATGATTAAGGTTGAAGTGCATGCAAGCTAGCCCTAAATGGCACTCACGCAAAGTAAGATAGGGAAGAACATATATAGGTCCATTTGTCATTCAAAGCGTACAATTCAAGAAAGACCCACTAACACATGCGATATCGATTAAGGAAGGAATTTGGGTTGGTGAGGAGAGAGAGCGTAGTGGGTTTTTGTGGCCTGAGATTTTCAGGACCTTCCGAAAGCATAATTGTCGTTGAAATGGCTAACCATAGCAAAGCGCGACTCAATTGTCAAAGTTTGAGATAACCTTTGATACGCGTAGGCCAATAGGTTCTTCTTCCTTTTATTTGTTGGTTATTAAAAATTTGCCAAGGGGACATGATGTGAAAATGATGTTCATGATCACAAAGGAGAGTGTGCAAAATTTACAGCTGTTATTTGAGATGATTTGATGGCAAGCCATGAGTTGAGAATGCCAAGTGCTTGTCTTATAGGATTGAGTTTTAGTTTTTTAGTCATAAATTCCAATAAGTTTAGAGTTTGGATTTTAGAGTTTAGGGTTTAGAGCTAGCTTTGTGTATATGGTGATCAATGCCCGAGTTAATCGCATCTAATATGCCATCACGACAATGATTACTATAAAATCTTGCAATAATAGTTGATTTTTTTTCAATCAAGAAAGAAATTAGAAGGAGAATCCTCTACGAATTTCAAATCATACATAAATTTTCCACGACCAATGACCATCAGATCATCGGCTACCATGTTGGCGTTTTGCATTAGTGACAAAAGATATGCCATGGGGGAGGGCAATTGGGATCCTTGTAACAACCTGATTAAAATCTGCGAAACACATTCAATTTGTAACACTTGAATTCCCATTCGTTATGCCCACAATAACCCATATTTCAAACCATGTTCACAAGGATGGCTAAGAATTCCAACTAGCTAGGTGTCACTTTGACCACAATTGTGATGTGTGACTAGTAATATACTAATGAGAACCCACGATCTGAAAGACACATGTAACACACATCACCCAAAATAATTAATAACACCACTACTAATAGCTAATTCATTGAATCATTAATGGAAAAACTCATGCACTAATTCTGGCCTTCATATATGCAACACAGATTATTGACGTGTGAATGCACCTGATTGGCATGGCATTGGCGTGTGGGCCCACGTCCTAAGTAGATCTCTACATAGGACGATTTGAAGTCAAAAGTGGAGCTAAAACTTTCATTGAACAGTAAGGAATTGCATGAAGACAAGAACAAGGGATCACCCACAAAAGCACCACCGCCACACCCACCACCACCACCAATGCCACTAACAATCAAGAAAACCAGAGACACGTCCCCATTGATGATAATTTAGTAAGTGCAAAAGAAGCTACTAGAATATCATGTTGTCATCAAAGTTTGGTAAAAGTACCTTGGCTTTGCTTTCGGATGCCTATATATAGAGACCTTATTGCCTTCACCTTATGCACTCACAGCTAGCATTGGTTTCTGAAGAAACTTATTCACTCATAAACATCAACCAGTACACTTAAATATATTCACATTCTCAAGAGTCTTGACCAACCTACACAACCCACATTGAGTTTTGAAGTTTGAGTATGGCGAGCACTAAGGTGATTGGTGCTGCATTCTTGGTTTTGCTCCTCGTGGAGCTCTCCTTTGCTGCTAGGTCATCAAAGGCTATCGAAGGACGTAGGCCTAGTGTTGGTGGAGGTGGAGGTGGAGGAGGAGGAGAAGGGGGAGGAGGGGGTGGTTCAGCTTCAGGGTCCGGGTCCGGGTATGGTTCGGGGCATGGCTTTGGGGGTGGCTCCGGGTATGGTAGTGAAGGAGGAGGCGGTGGAGGTGAAGGTGGAGGCGGTGGCGGTGGTGGTGGATCCGGTGCAAATGGTGGTTCTGGGTCGGGATATGGGTCCGGCAGTGGCTCGGGATATGGGTCTGGTGGTGGGAAAGGAGGTGGTGGAGGTGGCGGAGGCGGTAAAGGTGGTGGTGGAGGCGGCGGTGGAGGCTCGGGTTCAGGAAGTGGGTCAGGTTATGGCTCCGGATATGGAAGTGGAAGTGGATATGGAAGCGGAGGCGGCAAGGGAGGTGGCGGTGGTGGTGGCAGTGGAGGAGGCGGTGGTGGCGGAGGTGGAAGCGGCAACGGTGGTGGCAGGGGCTCTGGCTACGGGTCAGGTTATGGGTCAGGATACGGTGGTGGAGGCGGGGAAGATGATTCACCATGAATATAATATTACATGAACTTATTTGAGTGTTAGGTAGATATTTTCATCGTTGCCACTGTGAAATAAATGCTTAGATTTCACCATCACTTTATGCATGCATCCATATATCGGTATAAATGTGGTGGTGGACGTAGCATACGTGCATGCCACCTTTCCCTATTAAACATTTATAATTATCACATTATTAGTCCTATTATACTATTAATAAAGTAAGTTTATGTTTGCATGTAACGACTCACGAGGATAACACTTTTTTGATCTCTCTAATTAATCACGTGCCGTTATGTGAATCAATTATCACTCATAACGGCATGTGATAATTGGGGATGACAAAACAGTGTTACATGATGTACAACTTTTTCTCCTTTCTTAGAGATGTGGTTTGATATCTAAGTAAATGTGTTGCAAATGGTTTGAGAGAGTTAACACATTCATGTTATAATCTTCTCTCGCCAAACTGATATTTATGTTGCCAGGCTCCGTATCCGAACCACAAGTTCATGTCAAATCAACATAATGAATAAATCATCTTATATTACTACTACGAAATCTAACAAGGAAAATAAATTGCATAAATTTATAGTCTGACAATATAAGTATTTAAGTTGCCAGATAGTCTAGCAAGATATAATTTCTCAAATTTAATATTTTCTTTATTTTTGGCCACGTGGAATAGAAATCATTTTTTACCATGCACAAATCAACTCATAAACCAAATGGTGACCAACAAATGTAATTTAGGATTCAAAAAGGTTGGGAACTGACGACGCACAACGCATTGACCTTGTCTCAATTCCTACCTCCTTGATTAGGGTTTAGCAACAAAATGTAACCATCAATTCGGTTCACCTGAATGTGTTTTGAGGCGAATTTTGTGGTTGATGCTTTAGCTAGTTTAGGGCATTCGCTTTCTCCTTCTAAATTGTGGGACTCTTGCCTCCCCCTTTCTATTCTCAATAGCTTATATTTCAACCTCTTTGGGCATGGTGCCCTGGAGGTTTTCTGTTTTAACCTTCTCTTTTCCTAGCCCAAAAAAGTAACAAGAATGGTCGTCCTAGGTTCAAACCCAACATGAAAATCCCATGTGCTCACTAATGCATGTATTTATGTATAAAAATGCGTAAATCCAACTGATACATCTACTTTATGTATAAAAACTCAGCTTATTAACTTATATAAGTTAGAATACTTCAATATAACAGATGTCTCTTTTTCTTAAGAACGAAATAAAGGAATTTTTTCTGTTGCAACACAAGAACTATTTCATTCCAAATTAAGACATAACAATCTTCGCAATTGTGGAATGAATTGAGTATCTCACATTAAATATACGTAAATCCAGGTTGTTCAATAGCCAACAGGGAAAAAATGTTTCATTATAAGAACTTGATGATTTGAACGACAATATCTAACAAAGGTATATTCAGACAACACCTACAAATTCAGAAGTTACAATTGTATAAAATTAAGAAATAATTGCTAATCATTCTATTTGGTCAATAAATAATGACTTTCTCCAACATTTTCCTTTCTGAAATATTATAGGTCGTCTCAGATAGGCCCCCTATAAGTTGCTCTTCTGACAAAAAGAAGTTTGTTTCCCGTTCTTGCTTCCTACTACAGCTTTCAGATTTTTCTCAACCAAATTATCATCCCATGAGAACATAAGTGGACGCACTTAAATATCAGAAAATGTTTAAGAAAAATTCAGACAGGTCCACCAAGAGATTCTCGAAGAGAATGAGTTGAGATAGTTGGAAAGCTATTCCATCGCCCTTTCGGAAGCATAGGACACCTTCTGCAGTATCATAGACTCAGCAGCACGGATCGCCCTCTGTGACCCAGTTATTGTCACCTTCCTGCAGAATTAGACAGATGGAGGAAAGTTAAGATATTGGAGATCGTAGCGGGAGAAGCAAACAAATAATCTCAACAGTTCTTTATACCTATCAGTAGTTCCAGACATGAAGTCACCCCTATCAGATATCTTTATCCTGGCCCCACTTGCCTGCAAAAAAAAATTCTCTGGTTAGAGCTTCTGCAGATGTTATGAAGCTAAAAGATATAAGTTGCTAATTATAAACCTGACTGATCTCCATTATGGTCCTTCCACCACGGCCAACAACCAACCCGATATGACTATCTGCAACGCCAATAGTGACCGAGTTACTTCGATCCTCCTAGAAAACAAAAGAATGTCTTTAGTCACTTGAAAACCAACAGCTCAAAGGATGAAGGTAGCTTGTTTTGACTCAGACATGCCCAAAAGGAATAAAAAACCAGTGCTGATGGATTACATGGACTGATTTAGAAAACAGGGATGGAGCATCAGAAAAAGGATGGATTCCAAAAAGTATTAGTTCACAGCACCAAACCCTATGCAATGGTAAAAATGTTGGGGTGTCGAGCAGCCATTTTGCACAACATACTAACAATTAAAACCATACCCAGTATCCTCTTTCTAGAAGGCTAGAACCACTCATAAGGGATCAAGAAAGGAAAAGGCCTTTTTTTATTAATGAAGATCGGACAGATAGATAGACAAAATGAAACAATTATCCACTTAAAATTGCGATCAATTACATTTTTGAATGAAAATTATGCAGGACACATTGTCATTCCGTGGCACTTTTTAACCTCTATGGCAATGAGGCTAATGCAATACTTTCTACTTCCAAACGGACTAACAGATCAAATCAATGACACAATTTGATGCGCCTACCAACAGAACTTCCAATTTTACTTTATCTATTCTGAGCATAGTATAAATCAGTTCCAGAACCACTTGACAAGTCATGTTTTCAAGCACGTCCACTGTCTCGTTTTAACTTTTGTAATATTTCAATGTGAATTCACAAATATTATCCCTCCTCAACACTAACAAGTCAAGAAAATGGCAGCCTAAAAAGCATCTGTTCTTGAAAAATTATATCACAAGTCCCTGCACGTCTGTTAATTTAAATAAGATTATATCTTAGTGGAAAAAGGATGAACCTTGTTATTCTGAAACTTTCCTCCGGTCCCATTTGGTGGTCCATAGCTCATTGCATTGTACGCTGCTGTGGCAACAGAAGGAAGCACATATGTATATGGAATACCATGAAAACCCGAGAAGAAAACACCTATAAGTTCAGTTGGAGAGAACTTACTAGGCATCAAATCTCACCATCACAGTTTTGTACAATCCAATTTAGGCAATTATATGAAATCATGCAATCATGCAGGGAAACAAATGTCCATCAAGAATCACTACTTACAAACACGGTAAAAAAAAATTATGATCTTCAAATATTTTCATAAAATGTTATACACATAGAACGTCCACTACAAGGGCCCTACTTCGATAGGTCACTCATAAATCCACCTACTTTCTAAGGGCTCGTCCTAAGTGCAAGGCCAAGCTGTGCCCCTCAATTGTGCAGAAAACTTAAACCAAAAATTTGGATCCTGGTCACAGGGTTACAAATTTATTAGCTCCTGTCAAATGACTTTCAGACCTTTCAAGTGTTGCCTAAGTAGAAGAGTCAATTGGATGCACATATAACATGCCAAGGAAGAAACAGAAACTACAAACGTGCCATTCTATTTCACACACAGGAAACCAACTGAAGGGATGTTAGAATTTTTCTCAAAAAGTAAAATCACTCATCTTTCATTATACATGTCTATCATAAAATTTGTACTTCTGGCAAGTACTCCTCGAACTCTATCAAACAAGACACAGAGCCAATATAAACTCATACAAAAAAATTTACAGTATTTGTTTCAGAGATACATAGGGTGTTACATATGTAATTGGTTCCATAGGTACGCACTTAAACCTACTTATTTTGGTGTGATGCACCAATGATAACATTGCACGATTCTTGTAACCAAGTTGTTTGCCATCTAATGTTTCTCGAAGATACGTGATGAAATTAAATATGTAATCTATTCATTGTCATAGAGGCTTTGGGAGTCATGGGAAAAGCTATGAGAGCATCTTGGACTCTTGTACAAATGAGACCATAGATAGAGAAGATTTTTGGTGTGTGCTATGATTGAATTATACAAGGATCACGATTGGATTGCTTGATCAATGCATATATATATATCAAAGTTACTTCAATTGGTTTTACATAATTTCATTTTCATTGTGTATCTTGTTTGAGAGATCTCGACGAATGATTTAAAATACAAAATTCATAAACAGAAGGAACGTTTTCAATGCAAGCTATAATATTTTGAAGTTGATAACTTTAACAATTATAAATAAGTTAACTTGGCTTTTTTCAAATAAAAATCACATGTATCCCCTAAATAAGGAAAAGAATGGACACCACAACATATTTTGAGGGATTTAATTTAACAAAATCAATAACCAAGGACGCCTAATCCAGAAAAAAAAAATATATATATATATATATGGTGTACTCAAGTGAAAAACAAACGTGATCAGAGACCTCAGGCTAACTACAATGAAACATGTAAGTATCAGATTTCTATGAACCTTCTGATAGTTATGACATTCTTTTTCTTTTGTGGGGGAGAGGAGTTCCAAACTGGGAACCTCTCTCCTCTCGAGCAGAAGTGTGCTTGCCAATTCGGATGCTCATCTAGCATAGTCCAATATTTTACGCATTTTACATGAAAGCAAATGGAATGTAAAATAATTTAAAATTTTTTTTTTGAAAAAAAAAATCTTTATTTACTTGAAACAATCTAAAGAATCATATTTCAAGATGAAAAAAAAAACAAATAAAATTTTTAATAGTAAAAACCAATACACCATTTATAAATCATGTTCCTTAATTCATTTCAAAAGTGGGTGCACACAATCACACCAAGTTGCACTATTAGCATGCAAAAACCCCAAGCAGCTCCATAAATGAAGATTTTTTTTAACAGCAATAAATTAAGAATATGATCATAAGCGGGCACACCTGGATAAGAAAATGGGGCATTCATAGACTGAGTGTAATGGGGGTCTTCAGATAGCTTAGAAACAATTAAATCAACTGCCCGCATCTGTTCATCCAGATTTCCTGTTACTGTCACCAGCCGGTCATTCAACCCAAAATAATTATTGTCTTGAGGGGATATTTTAATTCCAGCTTGTGACCCTTCAATAAATGACCTGGTCAAATGCAGATGTCAGCAACTTTTAGGGGAGAGGGGGGAGAGGAGGGGTCTGACAAACATACAAATGAGGACACTGAAGTATAAAATTAAAATAGTGAAATTTTCATCAAACATGGGTGGAAAATATCAGTTTACAAATTTAAAAATAAATAAATAAATAAAATGTCCTCTATTCAGGTGCCGATAACGCCTTCCAAAATTATAAAGCTACTAGTTAGTAAATCTTCTGCCTTAGCATCTAAGCACCAAAAAACTGCTAATCTTTTTTATCTTACCAAGCCTTTTTTATCTTACCAAGCAACATTGAATAAGCATGGCTTCCCTTGGTATGAGTTGTTCTATTAAAAGTTCTTTAATTTAACAAATCATGGAAAAAGATAAGCAAAGGCCCAGCAATTTTAAAATACAAACAAATGAAAAAAATTTAAGGAAGGAGAAGTTAAGTGCCAAAATGTCCACTTAATATAATTGCTGATGTGACTCCTAGTCCAACCGTATGTATTGTATCTTTTCATTAAAAAAAAAAGTCTCTTTTAAATATGAACTACTCCACATGCACGAATGTGCCACGAACCCTGCAATATGAACTACTATATATGCACCAATGTGCCACCCGACCCCACCCCCCCCCAGTGGGGGTTCCCCAAAAATAAGATTAAATAGGTCATCTTTGCCACCTGTCTACTAAAAGTTCACTAAATCCCTCTGATGTGTGCCATCCAACCCCAACCCCCCCTTTTCCTCCTTTTTTTTCCCCCAAAAAAGAATCAATAGGGCATCTCCGTCAACTGTATACTGAAAACTCTCTTCATAAGTCATGATCTCCTTTACAATTGAGTAGCTGAACAAGATAAGCAAGTGAATCGGCAACACAATTGGACAGAGGTGATAGGCGTCTAACTATAGGCCATATGAACCAGGCTCAGGCACAACAATTCTATGTAAGCTACAACTTTTGTTTGATATTAACAGCCAACCTAGCATCATGCGCCATTCAGAGCCCTATCACAATCCATAACAGCCCTTCATTTTGCAAGGCCTAGATAATTTAACAACACAGTCAAGTTCACTCAATTAGTTATGTTATTGAGCAAGAGCCCGACAATATGGAGCTGACTAACCACACTTCAATAATTATGGCATGTAAATCCACTAGTTTAGCAAAAACACTGATGATTCTCTCATGATTACTAACAGCAGAAAACTCTATCCAAAACCTCATCTAGACATTTTACAAGCATCTTTGAGCAACTTCATTCCAATTTTGTCAAGAACAATATCTCCAACTTCGTATCTTCAGTGTTCTCCTTACTTAGATACATGTTTGAATCACCATAACACATTTATATTAGTAGGAGAACTTTGACTATGCATAAATGACAGGTTTCCTAACCATTGAAGTAAAGATGCAATATACTTTGAATCACATTTCAAGTATCTGTGCCTTTTATAAAAGTGTCATAGCTATGTCACTGGTGAAGTAAAGATGCAAATATAAGCATTTTATACATGAACTCAATGCTTGAGAGAAGTACAAACACCAGGGAGTGTCACTTTATTTTGTCACTTCTATTTAAGGAAACAACAGGAAAAGAGTTGCTCTCACCAGTGTCTCTGATATATCTAAACCTTACATGACAGCCAATAAATCCCAATATCATCTAATCAATCAACAGAGAATTTTCAAACTATATACCAAAAACATTTAATGTGGATAGAAACGAAACTCTAATATCAGAAATTCTATAAGACAGAACAAATTAAACAAGTTTTCAAGTACAAGAATTCAGAATCTTATCCTTACGAGAAAATATATTATTTCATCAGTAAGCATGGCAACAATATGTTATGCTATTATGAAATAGTTCTTACTTTATAGTAGACCCTCCCTTCCCAATTATGCCACCACAAGAACTATTTGGAACAACTAATCTCAGCTTTGTTCTTGGTTCAACATCATCAGTTTCTTCAGAATAAAGCTACCAACATAGGGAAAGCACAGTTAACACCAGAAATATATAGTTTACTACTGTTGAAGAAACATATAATGTGAAACCATATCATAACAAGTACCTCACTCAGTAACTTAGCAAGAACAAGGTCCACAGCCTTCAGTATTTCATTAATTGATCCAGAAACCATAATAATCCTATCGGTTGTTCCGGGGAAAAATTCATGATTGCGTGACAACTGAATTCGTGCTCCAGATTGTGATTGAAAATCAGTGATTGTTGCACCACCCTTTCCAATTACAGAACCAGCTGCAGCATTTGATACCAGAAACCTAACATATGTGGGCTTCTCCATAGTATCTGGAAGAAGCAAAACAGAAGAAAACTAGTGCATAAGAATAAGGAGGCTGGTTTATTACATTTCAGAAGCTACATGTATGAGTTAACTTGTGCCTGGGAAATTATTGGTCAAAACTAACTTGGAAAGAATATTACATACAACTGTAAAAGTAAAACTACATACTGCAAGTGCACAAACGCCTTGAAAAGGTTAAATATCAAGAGTTCACACAGAAACAAATGAAGGAAAAGTAAAACAAAAACAACATCTGCGAAGAGTTTGCCAATCACTAAGCTCTCCTCACATTTGCTTTAATTCCTTCCATTATATCTAGTGAGTAAATGTATAAAATTAAGTTTCCCTATCTATTATCCACAAAGGATCCATTACCTGTTAATATTCCTAAAGAACAGAATATAAAAAAAGCATTTGATCAATCAACCAAAAAAGTTGACATTAAGAACTTATTGGATTTTTCTAGAAATAACATATAAGCATGTGAAGTGCTAACCAAGCAAACCAAAAATTATTAAGAAGCTATCAAATCCATTTATTTGTGATCCCCAACCACCGCCATAATGCACCATTAATGAAATCTGTGTTTTTAGGAATGTTCACAAGACAGGATACAGTCTGGCCCATTTGTAATAATCTTCCAAGTTCCAATCAAGTCCAATAATGCAGCACTTGTGATGCAAAAAATCTGAATCCAGCCACTTCAACCAACTGTGCATCAAACAATCCAGGAAAAGATCCTATCTGTTCATGCTAGACTAATAAATGCATAACATGTCTCCCTTTTCCAGTTGGACTACAAAAGTTTAATTAAGGTGTTACAGATTTTAAAAACATGCCAGGGAAAGAACAGTGTCTTATGCATACTCCTTTCTTTCCTTTCCTGTTCTATGCTTTAATTTTTCTATTTCTTTTCCTCCATCCTTGCCAATGATAAAACAAGGCCTAAAACCAAAAGAATGAGTAAGGTCTAGAAGAAAAATCCCTCATAAATTTCACATGCCCACTTTGCACGCTGAACTGGATCCGCACTTAGCAATTTGAATCATGAGTCCAGGTGTTGCCTACTATACCACAATTCAACATACAAGCTTACCATGTATGACCCACAGTAACTTCGAGAAAATCTGATAATTTCTAAGACACCATTTGGTTTGAGTAGGAGGGGGAAATAAAAACCTAAGGCAATTAAGATTAAAGGAAATCAGATCCTATTCGAGCCTTCACTCTTAAGACACTCGCATTAGAACTCATTATGCTATATTATGGCCATCGCACCGATCACAAGAAATTGTCATGGCCATCACACCAGTTTAGAGCACAAAACTATACAACAATAGACTTGCTCAGCCAAATCTGATATACTGAAACGTAATTTACAACAGTATCTTCTTTCAATTCGAATCTCCTCCAATTTTCTCAGCAAACAAACAGAATGTTGTTGGTAAGGATTAGGGTTAGGGTTTCAGTACACAGAGAGCAAACATAACTTCAACGAAGCTGGCATTGCCATGATTGTACCATTAAACAGAACAATTAAACTACAGAAACAACAGCAATCGCCAATAATCACAGAAAAACACACACATGGAAAGACAGCAGAGAGAGAAAGCGGATCAGATCACAGAGAGAGAGAGAGAGAGAGAGAGAGTGTGTGTGTGTGTGTGTGTGTGTGTGTGTGTGTGTGTGTGTGTGTGTGTGTGTGTGTGTGTGTGTGTGTGTGTGTGTGTGTGTGTGTGTGTGTGTGTGTGTGTGTGTGTGTGTGTGTGTGTGTGTGTGTGTGTGTGTGTGTGTGTGTGTGTGTGTGTGTGTGTGTGTGTGTGTGTGTGTGTGTGTGTGTGTGTGTGTGTGTGTGTGTGTGTGTGTGTGTGTGTGTGTGTGTGTGTGTGTGTGTGTGTGTGTGTGTGTGTGTGTGTGTGTGTGTGTGTGTGTGTGTGTGTGTGTGTGTGTGTGTGTGTGTGTGTGTGTGTGTGTGTGTGTGTGTGTGTGTGTGTGTGTGTGTGTGTGTGTGTGTGTGTGTGTGTGTGTGTGTGTGTGTGTGTGTGTGTGTGTGTGTGTGTGTGTGTGTGTGTGTGTGTGTGTGTGTGTGTGTGTGTGTGTGTGTGTGTGTGTGTGTGTGTGTGTGTGTGTGTGTGTGTGTGTGTGTGTGTGTGTGAGAGAGAGAGAGAGAGAGAGCGACCTGAAGCTGGTGATTTGGGCTGCGGGGATGAGCGCCTCCGCGGGGCCTCCGGTGACGACACGTAGGAGGACTCAGTGGACTCCATTGTCTTCCTTGGCTTCTTCTTTCAGAGACGGAACGTGAGAGAAGGCTCTAGAGCATTCGCAGAATTGGAATGGAGTTTGAACTTTGAAGGAGGTGTTCGATGAAATTATCGAGAAAGAGAGCAAAATGTGATTTTGAGGGTTTGGTTTTCGCTGTGAGCTGGGGAGAAAACCTCTTCTAGTCTCTGCCTGCTACCCACCTACCTATCCATCTCTCTATCTCTCTCCTCTCTCTCTCTTTCTCTCTCCCTCTCTCTCTCTTTGTTTTGTTTTGGCCGTCAGAACCGCCTCCGAGTCCTAGTATTGTAATTCCCAACTCTTTTGCATTTTCAGAACGGGTGGATCTCTACCGTAGATGTCGTGGACTTTAGGTGCAATGGATCTCAACCGTTGATGCTGTGGCCATGAGGCCCCACGTTCCGTATGTATCTGATTATGATATGATAGGATAGCTTTTGATGCGTAACCGCCTCCCCCACACGTTTTCATTGATGGGCCCACCATACGATCGCTTGTCCTACACCTACAATTCACACACGATTGTAGAGCATTTTTACCAAAGACCAAGTAAAACTCAAATTATTTATTTAGTATGTGATAATGTGACCTAAAACTTGATAAATAACATTTTGCAATTATGTTTTTATGCTTATAATTTGAAGGGAAAAATTAGTGCATTTTGAAAGCAAACTCTAAACAAACAAACAAAAATTAGTATCCCAAAATTTGTGGGCTTTTAGTTTTAACAATATTAGGTTTAGATGAATTATAAGAGTAAATATCAAATTATTGGGGACTTGTAGCTCCAATTTTCATAATTAAATGGTTCGTAATGTAGACAATTACATCATGTTGTCACAATTTTTTTGTTAAAAAATGGTCAACTTTCTATACTCATTTCTACAATTATAACGTACAAAAACACTTTAATGTTACTACACAATAGAAACTACTAAGTGTAGAAGCACGTTATTGTTAGTGCACAACGAAGACTACCAAGTGTAGAAGCACGTTGTTGTTAGTGCACAACGAAGAGTACTAAATGCGTAAACACTTTGTTGTAACAATAACCAATAAAAAGGTTTACTTTAGGAGGTAATTTTAGTTGCTAAGAATTTTTTCCAAATTAGATTTAACGAAAATGTTGTAGTAAAACGTCGACGACTTAACCCTAATGGTATATTAATAGCTTTAATAGATTGTTAAATATCATTTGCAAGTACCAAAAATAAAGTTCATACAGGTTCTAATGTCCAAATAAAATACAATCAGCTACAGTTTCATTTATTTTTACTTTCTTATGATCAATAAGTGAAATTAAGAAAAGGAAAAAATCCGATTAATCTGTTGATGTATCATCTTTCACGATCCATCTAATACCTTTAAAAAAGATACCCTTCACACATTAAATAATAATTTTGGTGTCTTAGCACATGCTACTAGCTTGGCAACTTGATTTTTTGTGTTTATTTATTTTAAGTTAATAGGGGCAATTTGTGGAATTTTGAATATTTCACTATTGTTAATTGTTTTACTCTAAGTCACAAACCTTTTACATTATGCCACAATGTACGAGATTTACCTTTCTGCCCATGCATTTTTTAAAATGAAATTTGACTTTTTAACTAGTATTAAACTCAAATAAATAAATAAAAGTTGTCGTATTTAAAACGAAAATTGGGTTATTTAATCTCAAATTTATTTTTTAATATTTTTCTTTGAGAAATACATATTTTTAAAAAGTTTTCAGATAATGGAAAGAAATCCAATCGTTATGGAAAGAAATCCAACAATTGGCTCCATACAAGGTTTTAAATTAATAGCGATATATATCAGGAAAGAGGATTTGAACATTTGGACACAAGACTCCAAAAACCAAAATTTAAAATAAAATAAAAAAATATCCCGCTCCAATATCTTTCTCCTAAAGCAATTAGGAAAAGAATACATCTCTAGGGATTCACGAATCCTAGGTTAATTGGGAAACCAAGCGCAATCCTATATAAACCCATCTCCATCTCCACAGTTGCCTTATTCAACCCGTTCTCCATTTTCTCGTATCGATTTCTTGCACTCGAGATACAATATAACTTCAATGGCCAGTGAGAGTTGGAAAGTGGTGGGCGAGACATATTGCAAGGCATGGCTGCAACAAGCTTTCGAACCCGAAAACGAGTCGTTGTCGTGCACCAAGTTCTTGATGGATGCCAAGGCCACGGTTCGGCAGTGCCTGCTGCAGCAGCCTATTGATTTCAATGAAGATATTTCGTTGTTTTTGGAAGACGATAATTGGAGCGTGGATGAGTATGAAGACACAGTCGAAACCCTAGCTAACAACCCATTTGACTTGGCCACCGTCATATCCCAAACCCTTGCTCGGCTTCAAGTCCCCTCCCACGCTCATCAAGACATGATTGACACGATCATATTGCCCGAAGCTTTTAAGGCCGCAAGGGAGCATTGTGGGGCGCCCAAGGTTCTGCGTATCGCGGTGCGCGTCGATGTTTATGTTGCCGATAAGAATTACACGGAGGAGGAGTTTGGGGGCACGGATGTTTTGGAGGTTGCGGATGATGACGGTAGTGATCAGCCTGCATTTGTGCCTGCGAGTAGGGCGTTCATTGAGAAGTTGGAGAGGGCTAGAGTAGTCGAACTCTCGACAATGTGTTCGATTTGCATGGAGGATATTTTAGTTGGGTCCGAGGCGACTCGAATGCCGTGTTCACATTTTTACCATGAGGGTTGCATTGTGGAGTGGCTGCAGAAAAGTAGGTTTTGCCCATTGTGCCGGTATTCCCCGCCTGCTGATCATGATTGATGTGTAATCTCATTCTTTTTTATAGTAAATGAATCGAATTTCATGTATCAATTGTTCAATTTGTTATCTATAGAGTAATTTGCTGATTCATCCACTTTTAACTATATTTTTTGGTAATTTTTAGTCTTAGTTTATTCGGTATTATTTTAGGATACATTTATCTTGTCATGTGACTTCTCAAATAAAGAGAAGATATGAACTTATGATAAGTACGTTTTTATTCCACGACATACCATAATTTCGTTCATGACACATATTTATTTCAGTTTACCTTTTAGTGCACTTTTTTTGGCTAGTCTCAACCTCCATTCCATCCCCAAACTAATTAGATTTCCCTGTACATTGAAGGTTACACATGACAAACATTCCTAAAAAAAAATTGTGAGATATAAATGACACATAACCCATAATATAATTAAGAAAAACCAGTGAAGAAATGAAGAAAAACAGTATATGTAAAATGAGTATAAAAAAAAAATTAAAGAAAATAATGGTGAACATGTGCACAAATGTGAAGTTAAACAATATGAGAAGCCTTTGACAATGAGTAGGAACAATATGTAAGTTTCGATTTCGATTTCAATTCGAGAGGTAAATTGGACCTAATCCCACCTCTACACATGCTTTAGAGCTAGATAATGGTATTTTTGATAAATTCTTTTATAGGGTGGACCTGTTTGTGCAGTTTAATAGTGTGTTCTCTCAAAAACATACAAAAAATAAAAATTTGTGTCACCTGAAACGGCACCGTGTAATTAAAAATTAGGGCAGAGGATGACCTGCTGCTTAACGAATACCTGAGCTGCTCAAGAACTTCTGATCGTCTCTCTCCTTGTGTTCACCATTACTCTCGTCGTCGCCCCCCAAACTCCTTTTCTTTTTCTTCAAATATCCGTGAATTTGTTACAATCTTATTACTTGAACTCCGTTTGGCTGCTGAGAAACTGCTGGAGAGAAGAATTTGAAGAGTTTTTCCAAGTCAAACTAACCTCAAATCGAAACCTTCACCTCGTCTCTCACTTTCCGTTGTTTCTCCGTATTGAAATGGTAATTCAAGTGCTTGCTTCTTCTTTTTTCCTTCTTCTGATTTTTTTAATAGGAAGTTCTGAGATTGTTCATATGCTGCCCTAATTTTTCATTTTCATCTTAATTTTTGTCCGTAGAAATGGCGAATTGAGTGCCTAGCAGCAATGCTCCAGCAAATGTAAATCAGTTTTCGTTTTGGCAATGGACGTCAAGGCTTTAGCGAAATCAAATAGGGCTCACGCTCAGCGCCATGGTAAAAAGCATCATCCAAGTCAGAAAGCAAAAGCTCCGGCGGTAGATGGCGGGAAGGCAAGCGACGCCGGACCTGCAAAGAAGCCATTGGGCAAGCAAGTTAAGGAGAAAACAAATCCTACTCGTGGTGCCTCTGCACTCCCCACGAATTGGGATCGTTACGAGGAAGAATTCGAAGCAGGTTCCGAAGAGCCAGCAGGTGATGGGCTGAATAGAGCCCCTGATGTTGCTGTCCCAATGAGTAAAGGTGCAGACTATCGTCATCTGATTGCCGAGGCTCAGGCTCAGTCTGAGTTAACCATTTATTCAGACCCATTTCCTTCCTTGGATAATGTTCTACCTGGTATGTTCTTTGCTTCCATGTTATTGAATTTGGTTTAGTTTTCTGTACAATTGAATAGGGAAATTTATGTTTCTATTGGATAATTTTTTAAGTATATTTAGTTGATCATTTTTTTGGGTGAAATATTTGGTTGATCTTTGTTGGTTTGTTTTTCTTGCAAATATTTATATGCGGGTTCAACTTGATTTATGTTTCCTTTGTTAAAATTACTTTCTTTCATTTGAAGAACATGTGGAGGAATTCCGTTAAATTCTTCTGAACCATATAAGGACTCACCATAGGATGCAACTAACAATAAGTATGTGATAATTCACTTGAATCAGTTTTTGAGTTCTCACCTGCACCTTTGTCCATATGCAGCTTCATCAATTTTTGTTTTTCCTTCTTTCTGTTTTTCCCAATCAGTGCATATACTTCAGCTTTGGCTTGAAATTTATATATGCGAATGACATTAGATTGTTCTGAGGCACGTGATATCTGAAGTCTTAGTATATGTAATTGCATGTCCATTTCCTACCTGATTCTCATATAGTTTCTTGGAGTTGTCACTAATTATCTTTAGTCATTGTCTTTGACAACATTAAGTAAAGCTGACACATAATTTGCATTGTGACCAGTGTTTCCAATTATACAGTAGGGACTTTCCTTCATAGGTCGTAGGTTGGGAAAATAAAAGAAAAAGAAAGCAATACTATAATCTAATACTTTTTACTTGCTAGAGAGGTCCTTATAGTTCCAATATTAAATTGCATATTGTGCAGGGGACTGGAATGAGGGGATAGGATCTATGCTTTCAGTCAGGGGTGAGAGTATTCTATCAAGGATTGGAGATGATAATTTTGTTGTGG